TTTAACTTGTATTGTTGGCTTACAGTCTCATAGATCTATATAATTCAAAACCAGAGTTGTAAACTTTACCTCAGAATATGCAAAAGGATCAATGATTAATTGTCCTTCTTAAATAGAACAAGAGTGCACACGCTGAAATGTCTCGCATGCCTTACTAACCATGATTGGTTTTATGTTGATAGTCCTAAAGATAAAGTTTTACTACAAGTATCACATAAACTTAAAATTATCAATGATCCATCAAAATGAGGTCAAGGTCATATAGACCAAGCCAGACAGACATGTACCCCTTACAATCATTCCATGCATCAAATATAGTTGACCTTATTGCTTATAGTATCTAAGAAGCAGACTTAAACAGGAAAACTTAACTCTGACCAATGAACCATGAAAATGAGGTCAAGGTCAGATGAACCCTGCCAGACAGACATGTACACCTTACAATCATTCCATACACCAAACATAGTTGACCTATGGCTTATAGTATTAGAAAAACAGACCAAAACACAAAAACTTAACACTGACCAATGAACCATGAAAATGAGGTCAAGGACAAATGACACCTGCCAGACAGACATGTACAACTTACAATCATTCCATACACCAAACATAGTTGACCTATTGCTTATAGTATTAGAAAAACATACCATAACACAAAAACTTAACACTGACCAATGAACCATGAAAATGAGGTCAAGGACAAATGACACCTCCCAGACAGACATGTACACCTTACAATCATTCCATACACCAAATATAGTTGACCTATTGCTTATAGTATTAGAAAAACAGACCAAAACACAAAAACTTAACATAGACCAATGAACCGTAAAAATGAGGTCAAGGTCAGATGAAACCTGCCAGACTGACATGTACCCCTTACAATCATTCCATACACCACATTTCCTTTCTCTATTGGTACTGTACACGTATACCTAACAACAAAATTATTTTCATTTACCCGTGTTTAAAGTTATTGCAAATGGATGGTAATTTTGTTCGAGCATATTGTTTTTCTTTAATTGTTTAACATTTCTTACCCATATAACATGTTACTCTATTATTCTTCCCTTAGTTTATTTATTTTGTATCAAAATTATTTATTTTGTAAAAATATTTCCTTTCTCTATTGGTACTGTACACGTATACCTAACAACAACATTATTTTCATTTACCTGTGTTTAAAGTTATTGCAAATGGATGGTATTTTTGTTCTAGCATATTGTTTTTCTTTAATTGTTTAACATTTCTTACCGATATAACATGTTACTTTTATTATTCTTCCCTTAGTTTATTTATTTTGTATTTACATTGTGTCATAGGTCAAATTTATTTGTTCAGTGTATGTTCAATGGTGTTAATATGTCCTTTGATTGAGTTAAGCTATTTCAGTTGATATTTTATAGTGTGTCTTTCTATGTTGTGATGTTACACTATTGTTTCAGAAAAAGGGTGAAGGTTTGGTACCATTAAAACGTTTAAACCCGCTGCATTTGTTTGCACCTATCCTAAGTCAGGAATCTGATGTTCAGTTGTTGTCGTTTGTTGATGTGGTTCATAAGTGTTTCTCGTTTCTCGTTTTTTATATAGATTAGACCGTTGGTTTTCCCCGTTTGAATGGTTTTACACTAGTAATTTTTTGGGGCCCTTTATAGCTTACTGTTCGGTGTGAGCCAAGGCTCCGTGTTGAAGACCGTACTGTGACCTATAATGGTTTACTTTTATAAATTTTGACTTGGATGGAGAGTTGTCTCATTGGCACTCATACCACATCTGACCTACTGCATATAGTATCTGAGAAACGGACCTTATCACGTAACTTTAACCTTTATCACTGATCCAGGAAATGAGGGTGAGGTCAGGTGAACCCTGTCTGACGGACATGTAGACGTTGCAAGGAACCAATATACCGAATATAGTTATCCTATTACTCATAATAAGTGAGAAATTCACATAACAAAAAAACTATAATTTTTTTTCAAGCAGTCGCTGAACCATGAAAATGAGGTCAAGGACAATGGACATAAGACTGACAGAAACTTCGTAACATAAGGTATCTGCATACAAAGTATGAAGCATCCAGGTCTTCTACCTTCTGAAATATAAAAGCTTTATAGAAATAGTTTACGCCACCGCCGCTGCCACCGGATAGCAATACCTGTCTCACTCTGCGACTTTCGTCACAGGCAAGACAATAAAAACAAAACAACTCAACAAAACAAATGTCCTCATGATTTTTACCTTTCAAATAAATGTTTTACCACAAAGAAGCAATTTAACAATGTTTAAAAATACCAAGAAACAGATACTGTGAATAATTTTCATTTACACTTACTAGTTAAGCTTGAAATGACAAAAAAATCAATTCGAAGAGACTGCACCAGTATTTATGTGGTCAATAGATTACGCTTTGTATCTAATAAATTGTTGACGCAGTGATATATTTCGTCTTTATTCAATTTTGATAGTATGATGCAATTGTTTGAAATTAAAATTGTGCAAAACAATAAAAGTCAATGAACCATAACTGAAGGTGCAGGGACAAATAACCATCTTGGAAATGAGAAATGCCAATACTAATACAATTGCATACCAAATTTCACAAGTGTTTCCCTTCCTTAAAACTGACCAAAACACAAACTTTAACATGTAGACTATGCAAAAGTTTCAAAACCAAAAGACCATGACTGAGGGGGCAGGGACTAACAATATCCATGGAAATGAGATGTGCCAATGTCAATACAGCTGCATACTAAATATCATTGACCTACCACCAGTGGTGCCCCTTTAACTAACCTAATCACAAACTAGTACATTGTTGACGCCGACGCTGACACTGCCAGAAAAAAAATCATGTTTAAGTCTGGCGTTTTCTACTTTGTCCAGCCAGGACAAAACCTGTTTGTATCATTGAATAGGTTCAAAGGGTGCTGCTCAGGAGAGTCTTGAAGTTGGATGTGCACATATTAGCTCATTTAGAAGACCAAATCCATGTGAAGCTGGGAACACTGATGATAGTGCAATTACTTTTATGTGTAGTTGTTTCATAATATTTCATGAAAATGTTTTCTACCCAACATTCTTTCTTATCCAATAGCAAGGACCACATTTCTCATGAAATAAATGGCAATTTATTACTTTGACAATCCAAATAAACATCTAGAATATTCAAACTATTTCTCATGCTTGCATGACCATCAAAAAAGTCTTCTTTTTTTTTAATATTTCACTTGTCAGAATAACTAAAAATTTGAAATGTTTCCCGCCTTGGCCTTTGATTCTGGTACTTTGACCATTAAATGATTACATTTAGAACCTTACAAATATTTCATACATTCTCTTTTTTTCTTGAATAATACATTAACTACAGTGTAATGAGGTTTCTTGGCCTTGAATTGAAAATGAAGGACCAGTAAGTTGATGAAAGGACAACCCAGAACCTTTTACAAACAAAATTATAAATTAAAACCTCTACTATTGTATTAAGACAAACAAATTAAAAAAAAAGACAATTATTTCTGACATAAAATATTTATTTTGTATTTACAAAAGAACTATGGAAAATTGATACATCAACACATTTCTTTCCAAATGAAAGTTGTTATTTACACTGGTGAATTCTATCTAAGATATACATCTTTTTCATTAAATGTCAATACTTCAAAGCATAAAGCCTGACTAATAAAAAAAATACGAGTAAAAAAAGTAAGTTCTATTGTCTAATAATCATACATGCATACATTTGAATTTTAAGGCTAAGTAAAGCTTTCTATTTCTCATCTTGTACAAAAGAGAAGGTTCAATAAGGCCCCAATATGACCCCTACTACTACCTATAATTACAAATTATTATTGAATGGCCTTTATTACAATGCATCATAGTTAAAAAATTCGTAAAGGTTCCGCGGAACCCAGTGTCTCGCCTACTTTTGGTGTTAATCGCAGGCTCAACAAAAATGAGGAAAAAAATTAATAAAAATATTCCTCTCTATACTATCTTTTGATTGTAAGTAGCTTCTGTCCAAGTTTGGTAAAAATCCAGGATAATTTATGAATCTAATAAATGTTTTAAAAACTTAAACTGCAGAATGTATGTAATGTTGACTGGAAGAAAAACTAAGTCCATTTATAAGTAAAATACAGAAAAAATGGAACAAAATTTTATCAAAATTTCCTTCTAGATACTAGCTTTTGATCATAAACAAGCTTCTGTTTAAGTGTGGTACAAATCCAGGATAGTTTAAGAAAGTTGTTAAAATTTTAAAAACTTTAACCACAGAGTGAATGTTATGTTAACTGGTAGAAAAACTAAGTCCATTTATAAGTAAAATACGGAAAATATGGATTTTTTTTTTTACAAAATTTACTTCTGGATACTATCTTATGATCATAAACAAGCTTCTTTCCAAGTTTTGTAGAAATCCAGGATAGTTTAAGAAAGTTATTAAAATTTCAAAAACTTTAACCACAGAGTGAATGTAATGTTTCCTGGCAGAAAAACTAAGTCCACTTATAAGTAAAATACGGAAAAAATGGAATTTTTTTTTTACAAAATTTACTTTTGAATATAATCTTATGATCATAAACAAGCTTCTGTCCAAGTTTGGTAGAAATCCAGGATAGTTTAAGAAAGTTGTTAAAATTTTAAAAACTTTAACCACAGAGTGAATGTAATGTTTCCTGGCAGAAAAACTAAGTCCACTTATAAGTAAAATACGGAAAAAATGGAATTTTTTTTTTACAAAATTTACTTTTGAATATAATCTTATGATCATAAACAAGCTTCTGTCCAAGTTTGGTAGAAATCCAGGATAGTTTAAGAAAGTTATTAAAATTTCAAAAACTTTAACCACAGAGTGAATATTTGTGGACGCCGCCGACGACGACGACGACGACGACGACGCCGACGGAATGTAGGATCGCTATGTCTCGCTTTTTCGACAAAAGTCGAAGGCTCGACAAAAAATGAATAGATAGGAGAAATGCTGTTTTTTTTATCTATTAATTTATCGGCATTTTTTTCATGAAATAAAAATAAGTATAACTTTCATTTCCTACCAATTAAAACAGGCTAATTTCAATAGGTTTTTATGCATCATCTTCAAAAGCTTTTCAGCCTGAAATAATTTACTTCAAATTGGGACATAATAGGGCACTTACCACATCTACTCCTTTCAGAATAGAAATAGCAATTTCACCATTTTTAAAATAATCACTGAATTAATTTGTCAAAACACTCACTGAAGCAATTAAAATATTATTTACAAATATTTTGTTTTATATTTACATTTATACAATTGTGAACATTATATATATTGCACTGCTATACATAAACACTTAGTTTTCAAAATAATCATGATTTTTTTGTGTGTTAAAGTTAAAAACAGAATTCCATGCAACAGAGGCAAACTATAGTACATCAATGCAGATGATATTTTGCTTCATACAGACATCTGCTAAAACCCTCAATTCATAAGGAAGTCAAGACATAGAAGTGGTGTCAGTATGTCTTCCTTCCATGTTTAATTGGAATGTCTAATAACACCATAACATATCCATTACAACAATAAGCCAAACTAAGTATCAGTTTCAAAGCTTTTAAAACTTTATATCCATTGGGCCAAATATAAAATTTAAATTGTTTGATGTTGCCTACCTACCCGAAAAATTTTATGACACAAACTGTTTCCAATTTTTTTTTAAAAGATTTTTTCCTGCTTTAACGTCGTTTTCTTGTCTAAAACATGTAACAAAGAATTTTTTAAGGGTGTCCTTGCATTCAATCGATTCAGATTTTAAATTTAGAAATGCCTTTTCACCTTGGTGTTAAATTATACATTCATACCATTTCAACAACATTAGTTTCTAAGATATTGGCCAAGATAAAACGGTTTGAAATGATACATTACTAACATGTTCATTGATATATATATTCCATTTTGCTTTAAAAAATAAACTCATGAAGTAAAATTTGATAAAGTCACTACAGCTTTAACTCAAATCATTGTGACTTCTATATTGCAGAGCTGTCTTTACAAAAGGGCAGCAGTAGAATGATTTATTACTACAGATATTTCTAAAGTCACTCAAGAACAACACTTTGTGATAGTGACTGAAATTTTGCTGTATAGCAACTTAATAAGAGAGTGAAATATTATACATAGCTACAAGTTTCTGGGAATTAAACTTGACACAAAACATGCTGTAGTCATTTCATTAATAGCAACACAAATTTGGCAGCACAGTGCTCATTAGAAGATGGTTTATCTATCAAATGTTTCTATGAGGTTCATTACAGACAAAATATAAAAAATACAATTCAGTAATAAAAATCAGTTTTGAGGTCTTAAACCCGTGGTCAATGTGTGACAATCCTGACATTGGTGTTCCTATTAAATGTCTGTATGTGGTTGTTAATTGCCGCCAACATATAATCCTCCATAGCTGGTTGTGGATGTTGTGGTTTCTTGTATCTTCCCATATTTTGTGGCAAGGGAGTCTTTGGCGCAGGACGTCTTCTCTTCTCCAAGGCTGATAAGTAGTTGATCCACCAAAGTTCATCTTCTCTATTTAGTTTACCATTCTTTACCCATTTTGGTAGATCTGTTCTCATCAACAGAATGATACCACTAATTTTTTCCATATTCGGTTCTACCAACCATGAGGAATGTCAGCTTGATCTGTCAAAAAAACATAAATAGATATAGATTTGAAATAAGTAACTAATGCTTCCATTCCAATTCTCATATAGTTCAAATAAAATTACATAGATGCCAACCCTTTTTTGGTGCAGGATAATAACAGAAAATCAAGTCTCAATATGATCACCACAATATCTAGTGGGGACTGTTCTGTTCAACAAAAATAATTAACAGAACAAAAACAAGCAAAATATGGACTATAGCACGTTATGGTCTATGGTCGGGAAATAATTCCAATTACTGAAAATCGTAATTCTTGGCATCTATACATTTTACTGACAATTTACAAACTTGACAAGCTGCTCAAGGCAGTGTCACTGATCAAATGATCAAGTTGAACTCTTAATCTGTGTTTTTAAATGAACTTTAGAATTTCAGTACATTTTAAGCAATTGAATCAATTGTGATTTTTAGATTCTGTGACATCTGACCTACTATAAGGTCATACGACTAGCACTTTTGCTTTGTTATGTGAAACATTTTCTCTTTTGATGATATAATTTTATAGGAAATTTTGTGAAATTTTGTAATGACAAACATATACATGATATAGTGATAAAGTGTTTAAATTTGCAATAAACGAATAATGGAACTAAAAATGTTTTGCATGCTGTAATGTCTTAATTTAACAGTAACTGGAAGTAAGGATAACAAAAAATCATACATGTATGCAAAAGAACTTCTATAATAATATTCAAATACCAAATTTTGTTACCATGGTAAGTCCATCTATCAGTAAAAATATGCAAAAGAATAAAATAAATAATTACCTTTTTTACAATTTCCATTTTCACCAATATTGCTAGGAACATTATCACAAATTTATTTTTGTTGTCATCAGTTTGAATATAAAGTGTAGGAGGTAAACCACCATTTTCCTAAAAGAAAAAAAAAAGCTATACATATTATATATTCATGATATCTTTACAATAAAAAGTTTTCCAATCCTTTAATACTGAACAAGACATATTACCTAGCATATAAAGTATGCCAAAGTTAAAGTAACACAGCTGAATTTTAAGAAAAGATGTATTTTCAACAATGTTAATTTATGGTGAAACTCATGAATAAATTGTTTCATTTCACCTCTTATCATGAGATAGGCAATTTGTTCTCCACTTTTTCAGTGAATTTATCATATTTCTTCGAAAAAAAATAGATCAAAGACTAAAATGACCGGGTTGCACACATTGTTTCTTAAACAATGGAGAATGGTTTATGGGTATCTGGGTTGAAAACTGTAGGAGTTGATTACACAAAAACTTGCACCCTCTTTAATAAATTTTGCTGAAAAATGACTAAGTTTCCAAGTCTGGAAAAATGAGAAAAAATTCCTCAAACAATTCCATAATAGCAGGTGCACAACTTTCACATATGTGCAATCTTCCTGTGAAGTTTCAGGGATCTGGGTTGAAAACTATAGGTGGAGTTGATTACACAAATTAGGTACCCACTTTTCCCCGCCCGCCTGCCTGCCCATCATCACCATACTATAATCCGGTTTCCCGGGCAAAAATTTTGCTTATATTTCCATAATATTTTACTTAATTTTTGGTATAAAGAAAACCATTAAATACCACAGAAAATAAAAATGCAATTGAAATTTATAGACTATATTATTAATAATGTTCATGCATTTAGATGTTCATGCATTTAGATATATATATAATTCAGAAATGTGAATGTGAAAATAATCCTCCATCAAATGAGATTTACATAGTGTTCAAGTGCAAAAGTAAACAAAATAGACTTTCAGAATTGTTTTTTAAAACTATCAGGGTCAGCAAGAGATTGACACAAGCATGCTGTTGGTTTTCTTTTTTGAATTTGTTTTCCATTTTGTCATCACATGGCATTTTAGCTAAGTATAGGGTATGGGTTTTGCTCACTGCAGAAGGCCATACTTTGACCTGCAATAGTCAATATCATTGTCCGTTAGTCTTTATGCATAATTGTTTCATTGGCAATCATACCTATCCTTATTTTTATATGAAATATATAGCAACATTACACCCACCACATCTGTCAATGACTTTTAAGTATTGATTTTGAGAAAAGCCTACAAAGCAGGGTTAAGAACAATACTATAATTGTATTCATAAAAGAAAAGCAATTATAGGCCTATCCTCTTATGATGTTTATCATAGTCATGAAAATGAAGCCACCAAAATTTCATACTGATTTCCATACTTGTTGCAAACTTGGCACCACACAGTCCAATAATGAAAAGTTCATATAAGTTTATAACTGTTAGTGATATTGATGTATCTAACTTTAAGGGTTTTAAAGCAACCTTGTCAAATTATTATTTCCAATTTAATATGATATGCTAGATTGGACTCATCTGTTATTTTTCATGACTTTATCATGTGAACTCTTTGGATAGTTGTCTCATTGGCAATCATACCACATCTCTTAATTTTTATATTGTAGATGGTTCTTTGATGTTTAAAATTAATGGACTAAAAGTGGCTTCCATACACTTTGACTTTCTTGTAGATACATAAATTGTAAAGTTAATAAAAATGTGTTTTTCTCCTGCATGTGAACTTTAGTCAATTGTTTCACTTTGAACTTGATAATTAATACTTACTTTTGTTACATCGCCTAACACAGACATCAAACAATTCAAGGTGATATTACAATCAGAGGAAAACTGATCTGTCCATGTAAATGTGTATGCCTTATTTAATCCGTGACATAAAACACCTGTGACATGGTGGTGCATTTTTTCAAGTGTTGTTTCATTCTGAAAAAAAATTTGTTGAAAAACATGTGCTCATAACTCAAACCAGAATGCACTCACAATTCAAAATATTGGCAAACAGGAAGTAGTTATCTGACATATCTGAAAGGTGCACACTTAACAACTCATCTCTGTTGAGCTGCTGACCAAATAAAAAGTCATTGTGTTCAGTAGTTTCTGAGAAAAATGTGACAAAAAAGGTTAAGTTCATTCAAATATTGAAAAATTCAAAGTATTAGCAAACAGGAAGTAGGTATCTGACAGATCTTCAGATGCTTCACATATCACAAGTCATCACTGTCAAGCTGCTGACCAAATATGAAGTCATTCTGTTTAGTAGTTTCTAGAAAAGTTTAACGAAATATTTGTTGTACAAACAGATAGACAAGGTGATACCAATATAGCCCCCCTCTTCTAGAATGGTATAATATTTGTCTCATACAAAATGCCTAAAAGAAAATAAATACTGCTAGAAGTTTTTTTCCTGTCAGAATGTTTATTTTAGCTACACATCCAGTTAGTTCATATGATTGCTGCTTCGCCTTAAGTTAATCAATCATTTAATAACAAGTAAATATAGTACTAAATAAAATGTCAACACAGAGATAGGTTTCCCATGTGTGACCTTATCACAAATTCTAACATTTGCCTGACATTCGTAGCAAAATTAAAAGAGACCATTCGAATGATATACCAAATATTTGTAAAAGTGATTTTATAAAGTACAAATATGATTAATCTAACACTGTCAACCCGTTTTCAATATTGAAATTGATTATTGCAGTGAAATATCATGTTCTTTTCAGAAATATACATAAAAGTAACTACCATGAAATGTATTATGTAAGAAGTATGTAGTGATGTATCATCCCAGTGGTCAGACCAGATAACCTTAATCTAGTTGTATAGACATAATGGACTTTGCAATTTTATACACACTTCCAAAATAAACTCACCTTAAAATGTAACGTAAATCTTGGCAGATTTGTTTTGGACTGATCCATATTGTCACTGATAACAGATGTATACATGCTTGGATGTTCTTTGGATTTCTTGATGTGTTTAAAATATTTTTCTCTGCAGAGACTGAAAAAAAAATCAAAATATATACAATATACCCACAAATGGCAGAATTTCACTGATGCACCACTATCAATACACCCCAAAACTCAAACAGGTTTTAAAGTTAGAGAAAAAAAATGTATTTAAAAAAAATAAATACGCACATGGATGCACGACTAAGTTGCGCTAATTCTATGACCATGACTTCCTTATACCCAACACACCTTCTAGAAGTGGTGATTAATCATGCCAGGTTTCATTACCCAACATCAAGGTGTAGTGATGTTAGGAAGCGTAAACTATCTTTATACCTATGCATGGGGGTGACTAAACTAAAGAGCCTGTGTCGCTCACCTAGGTCTATGTGCATCTTCAACAATGGACATTCTCCAACATTGTAGACTAAAATAGAATTTATGACAATAATCTCTTTTTTGTTGATATTGTATTGCTGATCATTTTTCTGTTGATAGTTTCTCTCCATCTTCTTTAGTTTTTGCCCAAAACACAAAAAAGGGTAAAAAAAACAGTAATTTAAGGGCAATCACTCATATAAAGTGTCTACTAAAGATTTCAGCAAAATTTAACTTGTTTGTAGATCTTGTCTTGCTAATCATTTTTGCTTTTTAAAGTGTATCTATCTTTTATAGTTTTCAAGATAATAGGCAAAAACACTAAAAATTGGTAAATATCGCCATTTAAGACCAATAACTCCAATAAAGAGTCAACTGACGGTTTTGATGTAAATGGACAGAAGGTAGATCACAACATTCTGAACATTTCTGCCCTGTCAGATTTATCTCTATTAATAGCAGTTTTCAAGATAATAGACAAAACTTGCATTTTACCCCTATGTTCTATTTTTAGCCCTGTCAGCCATTTTGGTTGGCAGGCATGGTCATTGACCACCTTTTTTATACTAAATACCCCAATGATGATTGTGGCCAAGTTTGGTTAAATTTGGCCCAGTACTTTCAGAGGAGAACATTTTAATGAAAAACGAAGGACGACAAGTGATGAGAAAAGCTCACTTTGCCCTTTGGGTCAGGTGAGCTAAAAATGGGGATGTATCTGCATTAAACATGAAAAATACAAGAAATTCATATTCAAGTGTGGAAAGAATTCTTACTATTGAAGAAGCATATGTGCTCTAGATCATCTCTTGTCCTTCAGCACCCCAAATCAATCTTTGTCAGTTTTTCGCTGATGGTCTCTTTAAAGATTACACACTCGTTACATTTGCTGAGCTTCTGATACTACAAATAAAAAATTTGTAAGAGGTTCTGCGGAACCGTGTCTCGCCTGCTATTGCTGCTGTCAGTGTAAAAGTGTAATGTTGACTTAAAAAGTGAGTCCATTTATCAGTAAAATACAGAATTTAAAAAAAAAAATCAAACTTTTTCTTTAGATGCTTTTTTCATGGTCTTGAAGATTAGCTTCTGTCCAAGTTACATAACAATCTATGAAGGTTTACAAATTTATCATGTCAAAAAAGTTGAATCCCAAACTGTCTGTAAATGTTAACTGTAAAAAACTAAGTCCATCTATCATAAAATACTGAAAATGAAAAAATTAATTTTTAAAAGTTTGCTTCGGACATTATCTCTTAATCATAAAAAAGCTTCTGCCAAAGTTTCAGAAAATTCTATGAAGGTTTGATAAAGTAATTAATGTGTAACAAACTTTAACCCCAGTCTGTATCTATTTGTTAAATGTAAAAATAACTAAGTCTATTTATCAGTAAAATACACAAGTCCATTATCAGTAAAATACAGAAAAATGAAAATAAATATTTTCAAAATTTTGCTCTGGATACTGTATTTTGGTCATTAACAAACTTCTGTCCCAATTTCCTAAAATTCCATGAAGGTTTGACAAAGTTATTGATGACTGAAAAACTTTAACCTCAGACTAAATCTGAATGTTAACTGTAAAAAAAACTAAGTCCATTTATCAGTAAAATACGGAAAAATGAAAATAAATATTTTCAAAATTTTGCCCTGGATACTGTCTTTTGGTCATAAACAAGCTTCTGTCCAAATTTCCTAATATTCCATGAAGGTTTGACAAAATTATTGATGACTGAAAAACTTTAACCTCAGACTAAATCTGAATGTTAACTGTAAAAAAAACTAAGTCCATTTATCAGTAAAATACGGAAAAATGAAAATAAATATTTTCAAAATTTTGCTCTGGATACTGTATTTTGGTCATAAACAAGCTTCTGTCCGAATTTCCTAAAATTCCATGAAGGTTTGACAAAGTTATTGATGTCTAAAAAAACTTTAACCACAGACTGAACCTAAATATTGACGCCGCCGACGAAGGAATCTAGGATCGCTATGTCTCGCTTTCGCGACATAAATGTCGCAGGCTCAACAAAAAGGACATCTATTTAATTCTATGTACAATTATTAATTTATGCATGAATGGACATTTTTTTTATATGACAGAAGTGTTAACTATCTGCCATAAAGCAGGAGGTATGATATAAATAGCCTTTATCAGGCCAATGAAATTTCAAAAAAAGTTAAGTTATTCAAGACTTTCAACATTAAGTTCATTTTTTTTTATAAATAAAAAGGTTGAAATATAGTAATTATTCTAATTTTTGAAGGCCTAAGGTGACCTTTAGTTGCTTAAATCCATGTCAATTGGACTCTATAGGATAGTTGTCTCATTGGCAATCATACCACATTACTTATTTTATACTTGAGTGCAGAAAGGAAATTTTTTTTCATAAACATGTTGACATTAACATATTTGACCATTTAACACATAGTTTTTGGACAAAATTGATGTCTGTCATGACTTTACCCAAAAATATATTTTATACACATTAACATCTTTGTAAAAAAATTTTGATAGCATATGTTTTTAGGTAAAGCATTGGCATAATTACTGTTGAGATGTGTCAGACCTTGATGATTTCCTATTTTTCAGATATGATTTAGACATCTGCATATTTTGTTATCAACTTTTTACTGATTATACCTTGAAATGAATTTCAATGAATTTAAGAGTCATTATTGACCCTTCATCATGTTCATAAACCAACACCTTTGTTCTGAATATTATTCCATACAAACCTTTTGTCATAACAAACATTTTTCAATTTGTTTTAACTGTGGAAATTGAACACCGTTCAAGTAAATTGTAAAAAAAAAACCTCCAGACTGTACCTTAACTTTTACTTAAAAATGCAAAAAGACCAAAAGACAAACAACAGTATACAAAACACAACATAGAAAACTAAAGACTGAGCAACACGAACCCCATCAAAAACCGGGGGTGATCTCAGGTGCTCCGGAAGGGTAAGCAGATCCTGCTCCACATGTGGCACCCTTGGTATAAATTACATGAGTGTTTGACAAAAGTTATTTATGTCTAAAAAATGGAGCCACAGACTGAGCATACTAGGGGGAGGGTTCAGCCAGCTCGAATATGTTTAACCCTGCCACATTCTTTATGTGCCTGTCCCAAGTCAGGACCCTGTAAATCAATGGTTGTTGATTGCTGTCTGTCATATTTTGTTTTTGTTTATTGCTTTAGCATAAATTAGGCTGTTGGATTTCTTGTTTGAATTGATTCACATTCTGTGAGCTTTTATAGCTTACTATACAAAATGGGTTTTTCTTTGTTAAAGGCCTTACAGTGACATGTAGTTGTTTGCATCCTCGTCATGGATAGTTGTTTCATTGGCAATTATACCACATCTCCTTTTTAAATACAAATGTTGTATATATTAAAAATTAACCAGGCAAACTACAACAGAATGTTGAATCGCTACTTTTGATGTTGGGTTGCTGTCTTATGGATGTGTAGCCTATTAACTATTTTATTCATACTAATATGGTATTATACCTCCTTCTTTTTATGCCATACACAATCCTCCATGCATATTCACATACTCTCCTACCAGTCAGCACAAAAGTCAACTGTTTGTCTTCTAAACTGGCATCATTGCACCTGTGTACAAAAATAAAAATCACTTGGAAAAATGTAAATAGATCTCAAGAACACATGTTTTCATCTGATCTGAAAGAAATGAGTAAAATTTACAAAGGATATCCCTACATTATTTGTATGTATCATGAGACATATTATTTTTTAGAAAATAAACACCATAGTTTGTTCTTGTGTTGTGTTGTTGCATCATTGTCCCAGGTTAGGGGAGGGTTGGCGCCTTCAAACATGTTTAACCCCGCCACATTATGTATGTGCCTGTCCCAAGTCAGGAGCCTGTAATTCAGTGGTTGTCGTTTGTTGCTGTATATCATATTTGTTTTTCGTTTATTGTTTTGTACATAAATCAGGCCATTAGTTATCTCGTATGAATTGTTTTACATTTTTCATTTCAGGGTCTTTTATAGCTTACTATGCGGTATGGGTTTTGCTCATTGTTGAAGGCCGTACGGTGACCTATAGTTGTTAAATTCTACGTCATGTGGTCTCTGGTAGAGAGTTGTCTCATTGGCAATCATACCACATCTTTTTATTTTTCTACCAGAAGTCTGCTATCTTTGTTGCAGACAAAACAAAAAAATATCTAAATAAAACTTACTTTAAATTAAGTTCTATTAGACTTCTTAATAAGTTAAGGTAGCTATAAGCAGAAGGCAGCATGTACACTCAGTATATCAGTATGTGAAAGTACATGTACTTGCCAGTTATTGGTTTGGTGGTTTAATATGGTTTTCTCAACCAAATTATAGCATGTTATATAGCATTATGAAATTGTATAAATCCAAGTATTGTTGCATATCAAACAATCAAATAAATTCTATTCATATATATATATATTGAGTATACCTTATGTTTCACTCAATGAAATCTGACTGTTCCTCATGGGTCTTTTTATACAACATAGCTTGACAGGTCTGTATTGTCTGAATGTTACTGGTACTTAGAACATTTTTTCTCACAAGGCTGTTTATAACATTGAAGTCAGTCTCCTTGTCTTTTAATACCTTTGATGTTTTTTCATGTTTCCTGGCTAAAATTAAAAAGAATAAAAGATAAAGTTGTTTGGAGAAATATCAGAGCCTTGCAATTCTAAAAAAATACTTGCCAGTCTATTCTATCTAAAAACCATGACCAAGGTTTGGGGAACAGACTTTTTTTAAATATCGCCTGGTCTTAAATGGAAAGACATGATTCGAAGTCTCATTGATACATATGCCAAATCTTTTATTCAGTGACAATATAACAAACTTTCCTTTTTTGAGAAAAAAGAAAACTTGAAAAATTATAAATTTACTCAGATAACTAATTTCAACATTAGTGAACAGTAGATAGTATTGACGTAAAGTCAGATAAGTCTTTTTCAACATAAGTGTATATGTTGGATAAATATAAATTTTTAATGGGTTTGGCGTAATCATGTGTCTCGCCTGCTATTGCTGCTGTTGATGTTAAAGTGTGAGGTTGCCAACAACCAAACTTGTCCATTTATCAGTTATATCTGAATTTTCTTTTGTAAATCTAATGTTTTTTTTCAGATGCTATTTCTTAATCATGGAGATACTTGTCTAAGTTTCATAACATTCCATGAAGGATAAACAAAGTTATTGATGTCATAAAAATTTAACCCAAGACTTTAAGTCCATTTGTAAATTTCTATTATTCAGTTTATCATGTTTATTAGGGAAAATGAAAAAAATAATTTCAAAATATTGTTCTCGATACTGTCTTTTGATCATAAGAAGCATCTGTCAAAGTTTCGTAAAATCTTATAATGGTTATTGGTGTTTGAAAAACTTTAATCTTAGACTGTATATCAATGTTAGATGCAGAAAAAATATGTCCATTTATCAATAAAACACGGAAAATGAGAATAAATACTTTTCAAATTTTCCTCTGAATACTGTTAAGCTTCTGTCCAAGTTTCATGCCTTTAACATATTTTAATTAATTCTTTGTTCTCACCTATTTTGTGCTTTGCTTTTCTAACATCAATGTAGTCATCTTCTGTGTCACTGTCTACAAAACAACAATAATTATGTCATGCGAGTAAAATAAAATTATTCATGTTCACTCCTCTTATTCTACAGTAGGGCATGTAGGGGTCCGAAGAACTAGAAATTAATTTGGTGTGGCCTTTTAACATCTTGTTTCAAAAATATTTCTTCTTATATGTTACAAATGTGGACACAGACTTGTGTTGTCTGATGGCGAATTTTGATAATGACTTGTGCAGGGGTGGATTCTTGTGGGTGCCAGCAGGCGCATTTGCACTCCAAAATCTAAAATTCTGTTGTGTTGTCTGGTGGGCGAATGTGGACACTGTTTCACATTGAAATAGTAATACTGCAGACACATCAGGAAGTCACAAAACATTAACAATGAAGGACAACTCTCAGGAGAAACACTTGAAAATTACTATGACTGATGCATTTGTGTGATGTGGTTCTACAAATATGTTGCATATTTGATTTTGTCATGCCTAGACTCCCAAGACCAAACTGAAATTTAAAAGATTTAAATAAAAATAAAATTTGATCGAAACTTTGAAATATGAATTTAATGCAAGATAAAAAGGGTCAATACTTCAGAATTTCAGTGAAAAAGTTTGATAATGATAATAAAAATGCAATGAATAAATTTAGCATCTGTTTAGCCTTGTGAGTTTCATCTAATTTACATTGTTAAAAATGTAATCATTTGTCATGGAACGCATTAGTTGGCTCTGCATTTGGTATTTGTTTTCATCATGCCTGGACTCCTAAGGCCAAACTTAAATTTAAAGGATTTAACATGTTTAAGTAAAAATAAAAACTGATCAAATCTTTTTAAATTTTATTTTAATGCAAGATATAAAAAGTAATACTTTAATACATCAGAATATTAGAGAAAATTTTTGGTAATCATATATATGATACCAAAAGTGCAATAAACAGATTTAGCGTCTGTTTGGCCTTGGGAGTTTTGTCCCTTTTACACTGGTTAAAATGTTATTATATTCGATGGGACTCATCAGTTGTTTCCCTACAACCCATACATAGTAAGTGCACCCCCTCTTTTTAACCTCTATAAAAATCTTTGAAGGAAAAAGGCAATCATACCTTAATTCCTTATTTTTATATTAGTACTTTGTGGATCATGCATATAAAAGTTACTATTTCTTTCTGACCGATGGCTTTTTTCTCCTTTTTTTTTTGTAATGAAAAAATAATCTGATTCCCAACATCGAAGAAAAAAATATTTTGATAGGGGAGAAGGGGAAAAAAATTCTGTTTCATACTCAGAGTATTTGTCATTAAATTTTCAAAATGTTTAGTTCTTTAAAAAAATTCTCACTTTGTATGAAAAAAAACCAAATAATTTGATGCTTGCATGGTTTCATAATAAATTTTCAAAATGGAAAAAAAACCATATTAAACCCTTCCCCAAAGTAAAATGGTCCTTAATTTTGTTGTGTTGTATATATACATGTATTGGTATAATGATACATGTATATGATTGATCGATTGTTGTTTGCTTTATGTCCAGTGGAAAATACCTCATGCATGCTCAGGGAGAGAACAAATTAGCAATAATTACAATAGGAAGATTCTGTGCAAGGTAGGCCTACCAGGAAAGGAGGGGTGGATTTGGACTGCCACTGGAAATTAGCGATCAATGTTTGAAATGGGACAGAAATTTAGCCTTGCAACTGGCAACCTACAGAACCTCAAACAGTTGTTGCAATGATTCTTTAATATGTAGAGTTTGTTGCACTCTCTCTGCACGAAGCATCAGATTTAACATCCCCTTTCTGACCGCACGTTCCTGATATATGAATTCAAAAACCAAATATCAGTCAGAGCTCAGACATAAATAAGTCTAAATCTGCTTTTGACTCGTAGAGGTCTATATTTGTAGGTTTCAAGATTTGTCTCCCTTTAATTTAAGACAAATTAAGACTTCAATAAGTCAATTAGTGTTAAGCAAAAAATATTTGACCTGAATTAAAAAGTTGCAAATATTGATTCCTACAAGTCGATAAGTTACCAAAATTGGTCAACTTCAAGACCCAAGCATATTTATAAAAAGGTCATGCATCTACATGAAATTATGACAACATTGAAAGACAATGCTTTGTCTTCTAAAGAAAAATATGCATGAGAGCCTAAAAAAACGGAGATAATGTTTATTTACTTTACAATTCAACCATCTATAACCACACAAAATGAGGAAATAATCTTATGTTAAGTAAAAATGTTCAATTACATGATTATATACAGATAGCTCAGGTCCTTGTGAACTCTCAGACAGGTTTATGATGTCATAGGTGGTGCACTTTGGCCACCAATTAAAATTAAGTCTTTTCATAAACATAAATAGACCTAAACAAGTCTGTCATTTTCTGACTTAAATCAGTCTGAAAATGAAAACACATTTTTTTTATAAATACATTTTTTGACTTCTGTAAGTCAAAAACTAAAAACGACTTGTTTATGTCTGAGCTCTGACTGAATATCACTTGTATTTACTAATAAAAATGTATTAATTTAAAAAGAGGGCAAATGAACCCAGGGTTAACAGACTCTGTGGGCGAATGGTTGTAGGGCAAAAATGTTATGTTTGGCGAACAATCCCCATTCCATGGTTATAGGTTATTTGTAATGTTTCTACTTATGCAACAATGTGGAATTAAATCTGCACAGAAAAATTATGGGATTATTTTCAAGGAAAAGAAATATTTACAAAATTGGTTTTGATTTTTGATGGAAGGTGGGAAAAGGGATAAACTTATAAGAATTGGTCAGTTGATGACAGAACTGTGAATCTGTGTGGTTAGCCTATATGTTGAAAAGGGGGGGAGGGGGGTTATACTTGAAAGGGTAATCATAAATCGAATTTAGAAGATAAGGTCACAAACCAAAAACTGAGGACCGGATGTGATTACAGGGTACATGATTTACTTTGCGCCTGTCCAAAGTCAGGAGCCTGTAATTCAGTTATTACTATCAAATCTATCAACTCAAGACGACGATTACATAATAATGTTTTGCTTGCAAGGGATGTAATTTGTGACACTAGATTCTGATCTCAAATCGATCGATAACCAGCTTTCAGTCTATTTATAGAAATATATGTGTATATCACTTCAGAATTGTAAGGAAAATATTTGCTCACCAAGACTTTAGTGTTCAAGTTGTTAAAATTAACTTGTGAATGGGTGACCCATTTTGGAATTGTGAATGGGTGACCCATTTTGGAATTATAGTCATTTCGTACCCTAATCATTTTGTTCCCTCAATTTCGTACCTTGTCAAAAACCATTTCGTACCCTAATCATTTTGTACCCTCAGTTTCGTACCTTGTCAAAAACCATTTCGTACCCTGACCATTTCATACCTTTTATTTATTTAATCAAAACTATTAAAGTTTCCATGTGCTTAATTAAACCAATCACATGTCTTAATTTAGTCTATATTTGGTACGAAATTAGCTACCAATTATTCCCAGCATGCATTGTCACTTCTAACCGCGAAGAGCCAATAAATATTTTTTTTGATATTAGAGTATGTAATAAAAATAAATTGTTTTTTTCTAATAGAATAGACCGCCTCGGTGGTGTAACGGTTAGCGTGCTCGCCTCGAGTGCGGGAGGTCGTAGGTTCGAAATGCGGCCGGGTCAAAGCAAAGACTTGAAAATTGGTATTTGCTGAATCTCCGCTAAGCATGCAGCATTAAGGAGTAAGAGCAAAGACTGGTCGGCCCGGAGTCAGAATAATGTGTCCGGGTAGGGTGACATGTCTTCCTGCGAACTGTTACCTTGTGAGCTAGCACGTAAAAAATCCGGCTCAGCGTGTCGATCTAGTACAAAGCAGGGTTAGTATTCATTTCTCATTATCATGCTCTCGTCCTGAATATGCATCTGACCTGCCACTGGACGTTAAGCAACCATCCATCCATCCATCTAATAGAATAAAGTGGAAAAAGTGTATTTGTCACGAAAAAAAATAATATGTCCCACCCACTAAAGCATTCCCCCACTTAAGATAATGATTGTCAACTATATTTATTGACAAATTGGCACCAAAGTAACAACATTTGTTGAGGACATCATAGGAAGGATCTCTAAGTTTGGTCAAATAATGACAAATTCTGATTAGTAATTCTCAAACAGAAGACAACAAGAGTGCACATGCTGAAAAGTGTCGCCTGCTTTATATGATTTATTCTATGTTGTAAGTCCTAAAGATAAAGTTTTACAACAAGTATAACATAAACTTAACATTATCAATGATCCATTAAAATAAGGTAAAGGTTAAGGTCAGATAAACCAAGCTAAACAGACATGTACACCTTACAATCATTACATGTATACACCAAATATAGTTAACCTATTGCTTATAGTATACAAGAAACATACCAAACCAAAACTTAATATTAATCAATGAACCATGAAAATGAGGTCAAGGTCAGATGAACCCTGCCAGACAAACACGTACATCTTGCAATCATCCCATATATCACTTATAGTTGGCCTTATTGCTAAATTATAGTAACTGAGAAACAGACATAACCAGGAAAACTTAACATTGACCAATGAACCATGAAAATGAGGTCAAGGTCAGATGAACTCTGCCAGACAGACATGAACACCTTATAATCATTCCATACACCAACTATAGTTGACCTATTACTTATAGCATTAGAAAAAAAAGACCAAAACACAAAATTTTAGCATTGACCAATGAACCTTGAAAATGAGGTCAAGGTCAGATAAAACCTGCAAGACTGACATGTACACCTTACAATCATTCCATACACCAAATATTGTTGACCTAATGCTTACTGCATCTAAGAAACGGACCTTAATCATCATGATCATGTAACTTTAACCTTGATGTCTGATCCATAAAATGAGGTTGAGGTCAGGTTAACCCTGTCTGACAGACATGTAGACCTTGTCAGGAACCTATATACCAAATATAGTTATCATTTTACTCATAATCATGATAATACATTTGTAAGTAAGAAATTCATGTAACAAAAAAACTACTTTTTTTTCAAGCAGTCGCTAAACCATGAAAATCAGTGCAAGGACAATGGACATATGACCGACGGAATATTTGTAATATAAGGCATCTATATACAAAGTATGAAGCCTCCAGGTCTACTAACCTCCGAAATATAAAAGCCTAATACAAATAGTTTACGCCGCTGCCACTGCTACTGGATTGTAATCCCAATGTCTCGCATACCGAGACTTTTTGTTGCAGGCGAGACAAAAATGTCATTCCCAATAGGATTTCAGGGTAACATGGTAAACTTTGACCTCGGTTGGTGGCTATATGTATTTACAATCTTCAAACAACTACTAAAGTAACAACACTTATTAACTTGATTAAGACATCTCAATGGGAACATATCTACCAAATTTCAGTTCAATCCAGCATGGGTTCTCAAGAAGATCTTAGAAAATCGGCCAATAAGAAAATTCAATTAGCATGATTAGTCCTGGCAGCCATGCTTTTTGACGAAACAGCACCAAAGTCACACAAATTGGAAGGGACCTCATGGGGATAATCTCTACCAAGTTTGGTCAAATTCTGTTAATTAGTTCTCTAACAAGAAGGAGTCGAAAACCCTAAAGGCCTGCATGGGGATAACACTAGAAATTGTGTATACAATATTACATGGATAGAAGACACAATGATCTGTACACAAATGGGCAAGACTACAATAGCAACAAGGCAAAAACAGCAACTTCCATAATCACCATGATATACCTATTTGACTGTCCGCCGTCTGGTCTGATCTGTATTCCAATCCACCATGTCCATCGATATCTTTCTTCCTTTTCCTCAACCTACGATATAATAAGTATCATGCTAAAATCCAAATTCTAATACATGTACGACATTCTTCAAAGTTAACACTTTGTCTTTTTATGAACAAAACAGCATTTAATATGTAATATAACCAGAAATACTGTGAGCAAAGCTCACTAAATGATACCCCCTGCTCCCCCCTATGTGATGTTTTGCTATGGGAAACCCCAAAATTCATTTGAATTAAAATTTAAAATAGAAGGTGCACAATCATGGTGGATAACCTACGTCATGTTTTCGAAGTGTTTGCAAAATCTCATTTCTGTTCCAAATGATTAATATGGCATAAAAAGGGGTCTTGCCATTTATTAGTTTTTTATTTGCTTCAGGAGAACTTGAGATATCGTGTCTTAAAGTGGGCTTTGTTTACCTTTTTCGTGGGTTCCTTGTCCGTCAAATCATGTGACAATGACGTAGGTTATCCACCATGACAATAATCTGTGAAAGTTTCATTGAATTTCATTAAGAAATACTGACTAAAGTCAATAAAGTCAATAAAGAGTTAAATATAGGTCACAGCGACTTACTTTGCCTGGATGCTGACTTACTACCCCTGTACATAAAAGTTTACATGATCCTACAACTTATAGTTGCTGAGATATGAACATTAAACTGAACCAGTCATTGAAGCATGAAATGTGGGTCCAAGTGACCTACTTTTGCCTGATTGCTGACTTACTACCCCAGATACATCTGCATACATATGAGGTTCTATGTGTACATTCCTTGGAGGAAGTTCACCAAGCTATCCGTGAACATGAGTTGTCAAAATCAACTAAATACATGTATATCACAGTTAAAAAAGAGAAGATGTATGGAAAGGAGGACTTTGGTAATTATAGCTTTTATTAGGGTATTTATATATAGAAGTGTTATCATTTATCAGCAAAAAGTTCCGGTTTTGGCAACTAAACCAGAAAAAAGACAAGATAGTACAGCGATTCATGTTGCCATACAAAAGCAGTGATAAGGTATCAATTTGATGACAGAAAAATAGACGCAATCAAGATTTCATTCCAAATCCATATAAAAAAAAAACATCTTCTGAAAGTGTTACTGCATCTGGAAAATTTGAGATAATGACACTTTTCCTGTTTTATAAAAAAAACTAATTGCTCTTTTTTAGAACAAGAGAAAAGATGAAATATTTATTTATTACTTCTATGTAAATCAGATGTAATCGTCTCATATCTTCGGGTCTGACGACCCTCAGATATGAGAAGCTTACATCTAATACATACATGTAACAAAAAATGACCGGTCTAAAAAGAGAAAGTAGATACCATAGGGCAATGAACATGATGAAAAAAACAGACAACACCATAGTGAATAAGAAAAGCAACAGAAATACAGACAACTTAATAAAACACTTCACAGAAAATTAAGATTGAGCAGCATAAACCCTTTTATAAAAAAAAGTAGGGGTGGACAGGTACTCTGGGAGTGTAAGCAGTTCCTGCGGCACTAGTGGCACCTGTTGTGTTGCTTATGTATTCACATTTCTAATTTGGATATATTTCAGCAATGAATGTTATTTTACCTACAGTCATTGCAATAGAAACCAAACAATATTGGTAGGTTTAAAAGATATAGATATATATTTACACCAAGATGTCGTTAAATGAAATTGGATATCCTGCATTTATCATGCTTTTCTATAACATATGGTCAAATCACTGAAAGACCCCCCTCCTAAATTATGGAAAACTATCATTCTGCATTCACAATAATATCTTGGTGTAAATTAGATTCACCCAATCGGGCTTACGCGCTCATGTGTGTATCTAATACATATATATAAAATTCTAACCATATAATTGAACAGATATATATCATGTTCACATATTTTTTACTTGTTAAATTGATTGATTGTTGGTTGCTTAACGTCCAGTGGCAAATATTTCATGCATGTTCAGGACGAGAACAAATTAATTAACAATAAATAAAATAGGTAGGTCCTGTAATAGAGGCCGTCCGGGATGAAGGTCAGGGAAATTTAGACTGCCCAGGGGTGTGGAAATTTTTGTTGTGAGCACTTGTCCCTGGGCAAGTTAAACTGTAAATTTTACTTGTCCAGAAAAAAAGTTAATTGCCCTGAATTTCCCTGTAAATATTGAAGTATTTTACTATGAGCATGTATGATTCTTACTAGAAAAATAGAATGATGTGGTATGATTGCATGCAATGAGCATGATGAGACAACTCTCTACATGCTCTACCAGAGACCACATGACGTAGAATTTAACAACTATAGGTCACCGTAAATCTGTTTTGTATTACAATATAAATGATGTTTGTGATATTGTTTGTGAATAAATAAAAGGTGGTATGGGGTTAACATCAATCAGATAGAAACCCAAAAGCAAAACAACCAAAAGACATCTAGAGGGCAATGTTTTGTCCATTTCCCCAGACACCTGTTTAATTTTACTGTTTTCTTTCATCAGACAAGCTTGGTGTTTTGCAGAACATTGATTTTGGTGTCCCTTCTATCTATTAATTTGCCAACAAATAAGTAAGACTTTTGATCAGCAAGATGTAGGCATTTCCTACAAATTGTGCAAAAATTTAATTTATTTTCAGAAGTTTCTCACTGAAGAGCCACGAGGTCTGGAATTCTCGCTTCTGTTTTTGTTTTTTTTCATATTCCTTGTCTTTCTCCACCTGTGTTTTCCGTTTTTTTCTCGACTCGTCATTATTATTTTTATTCTTTTTGTCTTGATCACCAGGTCTTGGTGTTTTTATCAGGTATTTATCCATCTCGCTAAGACCCATGCAATCATGAAAAATTAAAATAACACTTCTGTGAGATGGCAAATAAAACCTAATCGACGATCCCGGGTCAATGGACAAAGATATCGCAATGTTTATGAGACCCGGGTTCGCATACTTAGGCCATAAAAAAGAATATGTTTGTTTGCCCTAACCCTACCTACCCAGAAAATAGCTGCCTACTCAAAATCTTTTATTGTCCTGATGTGAAAAAGTTTTTTTTAATCAGATAGGCATGAAGACTAACAAACGTCTGACACTTCAATTTCTCTTTGTAGAAAAAAAAAAGAAAATGCCTACCTACCTACCCACTGTCTCTACCTTTGGGTAGGGTTTGGGCAAACCAAAATATTTTTAAATGTGGCCTTATTTTTATTAATTTTGGTTATCGATCTATTTCCGTTTTTTTTTTTATACTTGTCATCATGAACATTGATGTTTTGATTTAAATATATGTTTTTCACGTGTTGATCATTGGTTTCTTTTACATAAAATAATACATCTTAATAAATTATGAAAATAATTCTATATTTTTGATTAAATGAATTTTGTCAACTGTAATTTTTTACTTGTCCACGGGCAACCCAGACAAAAACAAGAGTGCACACACTGAAATGTCTCGCCTTCTTTACTAACCATAGATTTTATGTTGATAGTCCTAAATATAAAGCTTTAGTACAAGTAACACATAAACTTAACATGATCCAAAAAAATGAGGTCAAGGTCAGATAAACCAAACGAGAAATACATGTACACCTTACAATCATTCAATAAACCAAACATAGTTGACCTATTGCTTATAGTTTCTAAGAAACAGTCTTAACCAAGAAAACTTAACATTGACCAATGAACCATGAAAATGAGGTCAAGTTCAGATGAACCATGCCAGGCAGACATGTACACCTAACAATCAATTTATGCATTAAATATAGTGGACCTATTGCTTATAGTATCTAAGAAACAAACTTAACCATGAAAACTTAACATTGACCAATGAACCATGAAAATGAGGTCAAGGTCAGATGATACCTGCCAGACAGACATATAATCCTTACAATCCTTCCATACAACAAATATAGTTGATATATTGCTTATAGTTGAAGAAAAACAGACCAAAACACAAAAACTTAACACTGAGAAATGAACCGTGAAAATGAGGTCAAGGTCAAATAAAACCTGCGAGTTTGACATGTACATCATAAAATATTTCCATACACCAACTATAGTTGACCTATTGCATATAGTATTAGAAAAAAAGACCAAAACTCAAAAACTTAACTTTGACCACTGAACCATGAAAATGAGGTCAAGGTCAGATGACACCTACTAGTTGGACATGTACACCTTACAATTATTCCATATACCAAATATAGTAGACCTATTGCTTATAGTATCTGATATATGGACTTGACCACGAAAACTTAACTTGTTCACTGATCCATGAAATGAGGTCGAGGTCAAATGGAAATTGTCTGACGGGCATGAGGACCTTGCAAGGTACGCACATACTAAATATAGTTATCCTATTACTCATAATAAGAAAGAAATTAACATTACAAAAAATGTTGACTTTTTTTTCAAGTAGTCACTGAACCATGAAAATGAGGTCAAGGACAATTGACATATGACAGACAGTAACTTCGTAACATAAGGCATCTATATACAAAGTATAAGGCATCCAGGTCTTCTAGCTTCTAAAATATAAAGCATTTAAGAAGTTAGCTAACGTCGCCGCCGCTGCTGGATCATTATCCCTATGTCGAGCTAGGCTCGACAAAAATTACTTGTCCGGTTGTTCAAATGGACGAGTCGGGCGAGTCGGGCATAGCATTTCCACACCCCTGCTGCCACTGGAAAATGAGGGTATATTGGATAGGGACAGAAATTTTGCCTAGCAACAGGCCACCTACGGACCCCTCAGAGAGTTGTTAAAAGGGTTCTTAACGTGCAGAGAGCGTGGCACTCTCTCCACGAGGCATCAGATTTAACGTCCCCTTCTGACCGGACGTGGCTGCATACTTGATACATCCCGCACAGCCAAATGGCCGCCCCACTTTGGCAAGGGTTTTACTGCCGGTCGGAAGAAGACCTGTAGTGACCATATTTCTATTCCCCATGCAGTCACCCTTGGGGCATTATTTGTTTAATTACACTGCATATCAATATGGATGATTAAGTTAAATATTTGATTTTATACCATAATTCTTTCACTAACTGTATTTAATAAAACACACAAATGATCAGGCATTGTGTGAAGGGTAAAAAGGCAAATACCATGGCAAAGAGGGTAAAAAAGACATATCCTTGTGCATATACCCAGGAAGTGATGGCAAACTAAAACATTATTATGACGACCTTGACACTTCATTGAATCAGCGTGCTAAAACCTATTATACGATCCCCACCTCACTGATTTTAATTTCTTGAAATGACTAAAATAAATGTAATTTGCATACAGTGGGGACTATCAGTGGGTTACAAATAAAACATTTTATAATTTTATTACTTTCCTATGGTCCATGTATGTTTATTTTAAGGCAACAACCATTTTCTTATCTGGGGGGGGCCTGGGATTTTCATTGTGTTCATAATTTTTTTTTCAGAACCTTCCTGCGATAAAATTTTTTTTTTCTTATGAAAAGGAAAGCAAAATTTTTTTTTCCTATCATGTTTTTCACAAAACCATAAAAAAATTTTCAGCTACAGTGCAAAATCTAAATTTTTTTTCGGTCAGCTAGGCCATCAAAATATTTTTTTCAAAAAAATCCCAGCCCCCCCCCCCCCCCCCCCCCCCCCCCCCCCAGATAAGAAAATGGTTGTTGCCTAAGCAAAATACAGGATGGACATTGTATTCGTTGACCAGATTTGAAAGCCATTTTTTATACTTCTCTGAATGTTAAACAAGTTCAATCTGGAGGCAAATTATGAAATAGTAATTTCAATATGGAAAAGTTTTTAAGGCTAAATAATTTAAAAAAACAAAAGAAACTAAACTAGAGGCTCTAAAGAGCCTGTGTCGCTCACCTTGGTATATGTGCATATTAAACAAAGGACAAAGATGGATTCATGACAAAATTGTGTTTTGGTGATGGTGATGTGTTTGTAGATCTTACTTTACTGAACATTCTTGCTGCTTACAATTATCTCTATCTATAATGAACTTGGCCCAGTAGTTATAGTGGAAAATATTTTGTAAAAATTTACAAAAATTTCCAAAATTTATGAAAAAATTGTAAAAAATTGACTATAAAGGGCAATAACTCCTTAAGGGGTCAATTGACAATTTTGGTCATGTTGACTTATTTGTAGATCTTACTTTGCTGTACATTATTGCTGTTTACAGTTTATCTCTATCTATAATAATATTCAAGATAATAACCAAAAGCTGCAAAATTTTCTTAAAATTACCAATTCAGGGGCAGCAACCCAACAACGTGTTGCCTGATTGGTCTGAAAATTTCAGGGCAGATAGATCTTGACCTGATAATCAGTTTTACCCAATGTCAGATTTACTCTAAATGCTTTGGTTTCAGAGATATAAGCCAAAATCTACATTTTACCCCTATGTTCTATCTTTAGCCATGTCGTCCATCTTGGTTCGCCGGCGGGGTCATCGGACACATTTTTTAAACTATATACCCTAATGATGATTGTGTAAAAGTTTGGTTAAATTTGTCTAAGTAGTTTCAGAGGAGAAGATTTTTGTAAAAGATTACAAAAATTTACGAAAAATGGTTAAAAATTGACTATAAAGGGCAATAACTCCTTAAGGGGTCAACTGACCTTTTTGGTCAAGTTGACTTAATTGTAGATCTTACTTTGCTGAACATTATTGCTGTTTACAGTTTATCTCTATCTATAATAATATTCAAGATAATAACCAAAAACGACAAAATTTCATTAAAATTACCAACTCAGGGGCAGCAACCAAACAACGATTTGCCTGATTGGTCTGAAAATTTCAGGGCAGATAGATCTTGACCTGATAAACAATTTTACCCATAGTCAGATTTGCTCTAAATGCTTTGGTTTCAGAGATATGAGTAGGTATGACACATGACGCCATTTTGTCATCGTACATTGGTGGTCATGAAATAAAATTGAATTTTCAAATTTCCCTGCAGAAAAGGTTGTATTGAAAAAGAAATTGAAAATAACATTTTGTAAACAACTGTAACCCACTGATTAATTCTGCCAAATTTCGTTGCAAAAGAAGTTTTTTACATATTTTCCTGTTTATCTGAAAAGGTCCGATCAGCGAGTATTGAATTTCTTCCCGACGTCACGGTAAAAAATTTGCGTTTGTTGATAAAAAGGGTGAATTTCATGGCTTCGCCGGTAAATGAGCCAGTCGTCATTTGCATATAATCTATGGTCCATTTAAAAGCGGCAGTTTCGTATTTTGAGATGATATATTTTTCTTTAAAGAAAATTTATTTTTTACGGTAAAAAAATATATTTAAAGTCTTAATTTGAGTTTTACAAAAGGTTCCCAATTAGTTTAATATTTGAAAAATGTATCATTAGAAAGCTGAGAATTTTTTCTTCAAAATACAGTTGAAAGTTCGAAACTAACGAAATTGGCTCATTTGCCGGTCATGACCTTTGTACTCTTCCGTTACTAACGACGCCACAAAAGTAAACGTTACGTCAAACGTCAAAAATTTTCAGAAAAAAAATGGAACGTCAACAATTAATGGACTTGAGTGACTGGAATGAGGAATTTTTACATGATTTGATCAACAAAAAGATAAAAGCAGGTAAGATTATATATTTTACTGTAAGAAATGATAATAAATATTGAAAAAGAGAGAATTGGATGGTCTCATGTCTGATAAATGAGACCTGCCCCCCATTCTTTCTCCTTTTTTTTTTTTTTTTTTTTTTGCAAATATATTCCTCCCTTCTGGCCTGGGTGAAATAGGGTGGGGGTGAAACTAAAATTGTCTATTGTAGGGGAAGTGCTGCTCAAATTTTTCCAAGGTCTGGACTTAGTTTTTTTCCCAGGTTTATTTGGGGGGCAGCAGGAAAGAGGGATAAAACTTCTGAGACAAACAGTTTATTTTTTCGTCGTCATTCATAGCCTTATTTATTTTTTTCTCTCTGTAGAGATACAATTTTGGGGAATTAATGATATTATTAATATCTTAATACATTATTGAATGGAAGAAAAAACCCTGTTTATAAATTCTGAATATATAAATCTTAGAAGTCATTTGGATCTTATTTAATAGATGGGTCTAAAATTGTACTAATAAAACAATGCAATACAGGTAACTGCTGTTTTGTTTTAGCATCTTCTGATGATTTAGTTAATACTTGTTATATAAATGTACTTTCTATTGTAGGAATACAGTCAATCACAAATGTACAATATGCCCTACTTTTCACGATGGTGCAGGAAATGGAGTGTCCTATATATGCAACCCTTGAAGATGTATTACGTTATGCCATGCCTGCTGTTACAGTACCAAAAAAATGGGCCAATGTCACCAGAAGTGTAATGAACAATGTGAATAAAAACATAAATTTAAAGAATATTGTTTATCAGTTAACTCCTCAAGAAAAGCCTACAACTATTAATAATGAAAGTATAGGAAATGTTTGTGATGCATTAGGTATACGCCGGTCAACTCTGCTCCATCCACCGGAAAATTTATCAAGTACTCTTTTAACTGTGAAAGCTTTCCATGAAATCTGTCTTTTCAAAAACCGGTATTCCTATACATGGTCAGATGTGGCTGAATGGACCAACAATATGTTGTCAGAAGGCATGCTTGTGAACAAACATAAAGTTCTATATTTATACAAGAAAATTAATGACAATTTTCAAAGTTACATGAAAAATAGACAAAATGAAGATCTTGACACTTTTAAATCATCCAAATTCTTTAAGTTTCTTAATAGTACTTTACAACCAAAATTACAAACAGATATGAAGAAAAATGATAGATCATTAAAAAGGCAGTGTTTAAAACTTGTAGCAAATCAGAGAGAAGTTTTGACTGAAAATCAAGAGTTGTGTTTTGAAAATGAAGTGTTAAAAGAACAAATTGTTGAACAAAAGAAAAACATCAGGAATAATGAATCTGAATCAGTGAAAAGAAACCAGGAACTTAGAAAACTAAGGTTGACAAAGGAGGCAAATGTAAACTTAAAAGAAGAAAATAAATCTTTAAAAGAAAATTTGACTTCTTTGAAAAAGGAAAATTTTTGTAAGAGATTAAGGCGAAAACAGAAAAAGCTTGAAAAGAAAGAAAGAAAAATAATAGAGAAGAATAAAGCTTTAAACAGAGAAAACAGTGGTCTAAATGCAAGAATAAGAGCTATTGAATCAGATTTTGCCAAAAAAAAGAATGAAAAAAAAATAAAAATTCACAGATTGTCAAACCGATTATCTCATGCGAAGAAATTTAATATCAAACTCAAACAGAAATTACACAGCCAAAATGTTGATTTAGAAAATAAAAAAATTGAAACATTAAATCTAAAGAGAGAGTTAAGTGTTGCAAATGATCAGTTAGATATAATTGAGGCAGAAAATCAAAATAAAAAAGTATCTACAAAGGAAGGTTTCAGATACACTGATAGCATGCGAACATGCATTATGGATCTCCATGGCAGTGATATTTCTGCAAACAAAATTTCTAAAGTTATAAATATTGTAAGCAACAACTTGTTTGACTCTGTACCATCAGATTTGCCATGTAGATCGACAATTTCAAATATATGTGATGAAGGACATGTTTTAGCTAAACATCATGTGAGTGAAACATTGGCTAACTGTCAGCAATTTGACATTTTCTCAGATGGCACCGGTCGTGAAGGAAAAAAAATAATAGATTTAGGAGTACATACAAAAACCGGTACATTATCATTAGGATATAAATCAGTGGCAAGGGAGGATTCAGATACTGTTGCTCAAACAATTAAAGACTCTTTAAATGAGTTTGCTGATCTTCAAAGCATATCTATTAATAAATTATTGTTGCAACTTACAGCTATGATGAGTGATCGTTCAAGCGTGATGAAAAAAACAAATGAAATTATTGATGAATGGAGAAAATTAAAATTGACAGAAGATTTAAATGAGAACGACATATCAAAACTTAATTTCTTTTATTGCAGTGCACATGTACTTTTAGGCTTCCACAATGAAATAACAAAATCACTTAAAGAATTAGCAAAACAAACTCCACCTATTGGAAGAGATTCATTGCCAAAATTTGCTCGTTTCAAACACAATTCTGAGCCATCATCCATCAGATTAATTCGTATGGCTTCAGAAGTTTTAGGTCCAAGGGGTGACGAGAAGAACGGTGCAAGACAGGAGTGGCTTGCTTTTTTAGCTCTAAAACAAAAATCTTCCATGATTATAAATTACAGGGGGAATAGGTTCAACAATTTGTTTACAGGTGCTGTTTCTATTTTGAACCATTCTGAAGACATAATTGACTTTATTTCGAACTATAGAGAAAACCCAAATGATAAATTGCAATCTGTTCTTGCTGACATTAAATGTCCTGATGTTCTCTCCCATGTTTCCGCCATTGCCATAGCATCTATGATTTTAGCTGAACCATTCTGGAATGTAATTAACAGTGATGAACATTACTTAGATCTCTACAAATTTATTATACCTTTACGAGATAGATTGGTTGATTGGAGCTCAAATGATTTCAATGTTTTTGATTTTAATTATGACGAAATTCCTAGTTTGTATGAACAATATCCACATGACATAATTCAACAGGTATTCAACAAGGCAAAGATACATCCTAAAACTAATGACATTCTTAAAATTATATGTTCATCCATGTTGACAATTGTAAAAAGACAACTTAATGACCACCTTGAAAATGGAGTATATGGATCGCTCCCTGATCCAGATCTGAAATCAAGAACATCACATAGCAAGTTAACAAATATACCCGCGGAAAATTTGTTTGGAGATCTAGACTTTTATTTCAAAAGAAAACCAAATGCAACTTTAAGACATCATTCTGCAATAAGTATGCTCAAACGAAATAAAACAATACAATGGCTAAAAACTAAAACTAAAAATTCCAGGAAAGTTTTACTTTTAAAAGCTAGAAAAAGTGCTAAATCTTTAAAGTCAAAAGAAATTGCATATGAAAAGAGTGTTATGGAAGCTAGGAAAACACATTTACAGCAAATAAAGAAGAAAAAACAACAGCTTGAACAAAAGAAAAAGATGGAAATAAACAAAATTGAACTAAATGTGAGGCTAATGGGTGGTATAGTGCGATCTAGGAAGGATGTTGACTGTCTTTTACAATCGTCTAAAACAATCAGATTAAAGAAAGAAAAACTCAGAAATCAGTTACTTTATTGTAAACAATTTATGAATTTAGATGTTGATAAAAAAGACATAATGTGGAAAAACACTGTTAACCAAATGAAAGATGTTTTAACACTAACTTTGAAAATTGACGAACAGAAAGTTTTAGAAAAAGGGATATGGGTTGCAGTATCCTACGAGGATAATTGGTATCCAGGGGAAATTATTGATATAATTGACAATGCATACACTGTAAAGTTTTTAAAACGAAAAAGTATGAGAGGAAATACTTTTATTTGGCCAAACAAAGACGATATAGATAGTATTAATGACAAATTTATAATTTATTCTGATTTTGAAATAATGCCCTCTCTGGGGCTTAGACATTGGCTCATTCCCGACATGGATGAAATTGAAGTATTGCATAAACAATTTGTGGAAAAATACTTTGAAAATTGTTAATCTGTTCTGAAAATGTTTATTTTCAATGTTACATGTAACTGTTAATTGCTATTTTATCTTGTTACTTAAATTATTACATATTCCACTGTTTTATATCATTTTTGGCCAAACCAACCTTTTAAAGATTCACATTACCATGACTGCAGACATATTTGAAATAAACACATTTGGTTGTTTTTCCCTGAAAGGATACACCATATACATTTTAGAAATTACATGGTCTTCCTTTAAAAAAACATTGAAACAAAACAGTAATTTTTTAATTTTAAAGTATCCAATATATTTTGTGGAAAGTTGTAGTTAATTGTTGCCATGGTAATTGACTAATTAAGGATAACAAAACTATCATGTCCTGACCAGTAAATATATCTTTAACATTGATAAAAGAAAAAGCATGCCAAAAAGTCTCAGAAAACAAATGTGTGCAAAGATAATTTGGAAATTGAATATTTAACAGGTTGTACGATGGTTGCTTCAAATTAGATCATTGAAAAAAATGGTTACCATGGTAACAAAACTCAAATTTCCACTTAAGATATTGCAATTTTGACAATGCCAAATGAAAGAGCATGCCAAATTACCCTGGTAGCCAAATTTGTAAGGAGGTAATGCAAATAGTAAAGGAATTACAGCCAATTCAAGAGAAAAAATGCTGGACTCTGTCGTTTCTGCAGTTCGGACACGTTTCCGAGGGTGCTTGAAGACCTATTTGTGGTGTTTATATTTTTGGAAACTTTGGGTTTATGTAACTAGTAAAGACCATACCAGTCTAATATATCCCTAATTAGAAGATTTAGAGATTATTTAGGTTTTGTTAGCAACAAATGTGGAGATAAAAGCCTCTAAAATTAGAGATTTTATCATTTTTGTATCAAATATAGCAAAAGTGGCAGAAAATATCGCTATTTTTTAAATTTGTTTTGGTCATAACTTTTGAACCGCTAAAGGTATCTTCATATTTTAAACACCATTTTCTTTGTTTTTATGAGCTCTGTAAGTTAAAAGCATTTATATTATGGAAGGAATGTGTTAAAAAAATCATGTGTCATACCTAATATGAGCCAAAAACTGCATTTTACCCTATGTACTATTTTTTAGCCATGTCATCCATCTTAGTTTGTGGGCGGGGTCATCGGACACATTTTTTAAACTATATACCCTAATGATGATTGTGGACAAGTTTGGTTAAATTTGTCTTAGTAGTTTCAGAGGAGAAGATTTTTGTAAAAGATTACAAAAATTTACGAAAAATGGTTAAAAATTGATTATAAAGGGCAATAACTCCTCAAGGGGTCAACTGACCATTTTGGTCAAGTTGACTTAATTGTAGATCTTACTCTGCTGAACATTATTGCTGTTTACAGTTTATCTCTATCTATAATAATATTCAAGATAATAACCAAAAACGGCAAAATTTCCTTAAAATTACCAATTCAGGGGCAGCAACCCAACAACGGGTTGTCAGATTCATCTGAAAATTTCAGGGCAGATAGATCTTGACCTGATAAACAATTTTACCCTGTCAGATTTGCTCTAAATGCTTTGGTTTCAGAGATATAAGCCAAAATCTACATTTTACCCCTATGTTCTATTTTTAGCCATGGCGGCCATCTTGGTTGGTTGACCGGATCACCGGACACATTTTTAAAACTAGATACCCCAATGATGATTGTGACCAAGTTTGGTTAAATTTGACCCAGTAGTTTCAGAGGAGAAGATTTTTGTAAAAGTTACGGACGACGGACGACGGACGCAAAGTGCGGTCAGGTCAGGTGAGCTAATAAAAAAGCAAAACCAGAAACTGAATATAAAAAAGCCTTTGGTGCAGAACTTTTCCACACAGTGTAATATTCATGTTTTTATAAAATAAAAAAGTGACAATTATAGTAGAAGAGGCTGCTCAAAATCCAGCATTTGTACTAAGATTTATCCATAATCATTGAGGTAAGGAAGTCTAGATCTGGTTATGACATAAAAATAACTTTTGACTTGTCAGCTGTGGTAAAAATCTATTTGATACCCCTCTCCCAAGTTAATCAAAAGATAAGTTGACTGCTCCCTTATATAACTGAGACTACTATATGTTAATAGTAATTTAAATTGTCAAGTTACCAGTTATGGATAAAACTAATGTACATAAGTACATACATTTAGTAAGTGGACTTGGAATAATATCTTTTAATAATTATGTATGAAAAAGACGGTGAGTCCCAAAAGTAAGTCACTCTCCAAGCTGGCAAGTGGAATTTCAATTTGGTGAGTTGAAATGAAAAGCTGCTCGTCAATTTGGCGAGTAAGAAAAACAAAAGGTTTCACACACTGCACTTGTACAATCAATTCCAAGTAACTTCAATATAACATTTATTGAACCATACCATGATGTTTTATTCAGTTGCTGAAGTGTTTTAAATTGTTCATATGCCTCTTTCAATAGAGGAAAATTACTTCCTAAATTCTCTAATCGATACCAATACAATCATGACAATAGCATCGCTTTAATTATATTAAAATAAATTGGAAATCTAACGCAACATTTGTTGTTTTTTTGTGCACACCAAGTATAAATTTGTTAAATTTAATGTGAAGTTTCTCACCGGGTAAACCTGAATATAATTTTTCAAGAGATACATCTTCCTTCTTACATTTAGAGGAAAGAGAATTAAACATTCCCCATACTTCACTACCATATAATAAAATAGGTTTCACAGTGTGATCAAAAGCATGAATACTTGTTTTGATGTTAGGATTTAGAGATAAAAAATCTTTCCGCAATTGATAATAAGCTTTTAAGGATACTTGTACAGTTCACTTTGAGCATAACTAAATGAGCCAGATGAGCTTAAATATAAACCCAGGTACTTGTATTTTGAAACACATTCCAGGTTTATATTCTGGTATGTGTATTTACCTGTGACCCAACCTTGCAAGCCTACCAATGGGTCTCAACAAGTGAGAGAATCCACACCTGGAGGCGGGCTTCAGCTGGCCCCTAAACAATAATGTACAATAGTTCAGCGAATTTTTTTTTTCGTTATATTTATAAAATAATATTCTCAAAGTGAAAACAAAATTAGTAAAAGACCTGTATACAATGTAAGACAATATAGTCGTATATTATAACGTGCATGAAAGAGTTATTTATGGTCTTTTCTGAGCCCTGCATCGAACAAGGGTTGGTCTTTGTTACTTGAATTGGACAGAAAATTTCTACAAACATAAAACAATGCATGCATAATCGGATCCTGTTCCTTATATTTAAGCCTTGTAATGTATGCAGCATTCTCAGCTATGGATTTCGTAAGACATTCCCTGGACATACATGTGATTCTTCCGGCGGGAGTCAAAATCTCCCGCTTTTCAGACCCTCTTCCGTCCCTCCCGTTAAAATTTGAAATCTTCCGCTTTTTGAAAATGGCAACCTCGTAAAATTTTCGTTAGACATTTTTGTTTACAAAATCGATACGGACAAAGAAAAAGTCCGAGAAACTCGAAATTGATATGGGAAAAGTCCGAGAAAAACGGAAGTTTCCTGTAATGGATTTTGTGTCAAAAGTTAAAATAGGTAAAATTAGCCTGAGGTGTTTAGGATTAAACTGTATATACAACAATAAATAAAAGATAATAGGCAATTACCTAGTGATCAACTAGCTAGTTTAAGACACAAGCCAGGTTGATTAAAAGTGAAATACTGACAAAGGATTAAATTGTACAAGTTGTATACACAACGATTTAATTTGATGCTGTTGAAAACATGGAACATTTACTGAACCTCAAAGACAAATAAAATCAACTCAAATATGATATTTGTGGCTTGTTTTCTATCCAAGCCAATGGAATACCTATATAAGTACAGTTGTCTTGGACTATTCTAAAATTTTAGAATTTGACAAAATGCAAACCGTAATTTATATCACCAAATACCCCAGCAGCAAATAAAAGAAGACCAAGTATCTAGCCAAATTCAACTCTGCCTGGAGATCTGATTTCAAATGATGCAGATCCAGTACCAAGGGTCAAGACCATGCTTACTACACTTCATGCAAAGCTGACTGTGGTGGCCCTAATGATTTGACCAAACTGATGGAGACAGCTACCCACCAATAAGCCTACAACTCTATCAATTTAACACCTTCTGTTACAAGCATGTTCAGTAGTGGTACCAAAGTTGACAATGTAGCTAAATCAGAGATACTTTCTGCCAACTCTGTATGATGGCTGATTGCTTTATCTTGAATTATATATAATGAATAAATAGTTGAAAACCCCTTTATCTTCTTTTTTTATCAAGTAAAAATGGATATGGAGTTGTTGAAAGGTATGGAATTATTGTTCTTTTAACAAACAAAAAAAGAAGATATGCAGTTTAAACACACAAAAAAACCATTGCGTACGTCGATAAATAGGTCGATAAAAAATCTCCAGTTATGAAGCCCAAACTCCAGCTGAAAATTTCCAAATCTCCAGTTGTGGCTTGACAACTCTGTCACATGTCTGTTCCCACTGCTTACTTCTGGAAACCTTGTTTACAACTACATGTACATTTTTTATCATTGTAATCATCCATCGTGGACTTTGAATGAAAAAAACTTTTCTCAAACATAGATCAAACACTGGTCATACTCCGTGATCAGACAAATCCTATTTACTATTAAAATGGAAATAGAAGGCTATAACTGCAAACTGCTCATCAAATGAGGTCCATGCATTCTTGAAATAAAAGAGCCACAGTGACTGACCACATATTTTCATTAAATCGCTTTCATACTTGTAGAGTTGAGAATGGGAAATTATGTAAGGGTAGCAAATTCATTCATATTTCAAGCCAATCCTGAACAAAAATTTCTGCTATTTATATAGCTATACAAATTTGGGAAAAAATAGCAAGCCCTGTTTGAAAGTTACCAGCCGTGCATCCTCGGGCAGGCTGGTAAATTTACCAACTCTGGTAGAGGGCATACTCCCCTCCCCTCTTTTGATCTGAAACAGTATCATTTTTTGCATAAAATGTCATAAAATCGTCCAAATTTGTTTTGCATCACTCCACTCGGCGTGAAATTACGCCCCTTTGAAAAAAGCTGAATCCATCATCCGCCCCTGCCTGGGACTGTAGTTATGGTCGATCGGCAGCTCATGCTAAATTTTAGAGGCATTGCCCTTCCTAAATAATAAAAAACATGAATGGTAATGAAAAGTAAAACGTGATAAAATGTTGAAAAAAACAAGTACCTTGCTCCTCCAGATGCCGCCATCTTGTTCCGATTTTGAAGCATGCGCACTGGTGATATTGTGTTATAGCACGACCACAAAAATGGCGTTTAATAATATCGATGTACACACATAGTTCACACTTCCTCATAATAGACGGCGAGTGAGACTTGCTTATTTTTTCTTTTTATTTTATGTTTGATTGAAAATTAAAGCAATTTAGCGATAATCATACAATTTACATCTGAGGACGTCCTTAGTTGTGAGTGAAGTCCTCACTTACTGGTGTGTATACTTACACATGTCCTCATTGACATACGTGTACCAGACCACACAAGACATAATTTGCAAATGTAAAATTTTGAAGGTAAAAATAGTTGCTGACAAAAAAAAACAATACTAGTATTATTGTTACCAGCAATTTCCGTTTGAAATTGTGTCCCTGTCTGGAAATACATTTCGGCAATTAGTTTCGAAAGTAACAATAATTATTTCTTATTTTTACCTTTGGTCGGTAATCGTAGCCAGTGCCTTTTTTTGAATTGACACTAATATAAATCACACCTTGAATTTGATAATATTAATGAAGTTTGAGAAAGTAATATTGTGAATGAATTTTCATCTTTAATTAGATTGTTGGAATAATATAACAAGTCAGATATAATGGGGGGAGAGGACATGAGTATTAGGATAATGTATATTCTGGTCTGGTAAATGTTCATATAGTCATTGTAATAACTGAAAAAAAATATAAACATTAGTCAAGAGTGCTGACACAGGATGAAAATGAATATTCTGTCCAAAAAATGCAGGAAATAATTGTGTACAGATCGATGGACGTTTTTATAT